GTACCTCTCACCATATACCAAAATCAACTCAAAATGGATTAAAGAATTAAATATACATCCTGGAACAATAAAACTCCTTAAAGAAAACATAGGGGAAACACTCCAGGAAGTAGGAGTGGGTACAGACTTCATGAATATGACCCCAAAGGCACAGGCAACCAAAGGAAAAATAAATAAATGGGATTATATCAAACTAAAAAGCTTCTGCACAGCAAAAGAAACAACCAACAGAGTAAAAAGACAACCAAAAGAGTGGGAGAAAATATTTGCAAAATATACGTCTGACAAAGGATTAATACCCAAAATATACAAGGAACACACACAACTTTACAGCAAAAAAACAAATAACCCAATTTTTAAAAAGGGTAAAGGAACTGAATAGGCATTTCTCAAAGGAAGATATACGAATGGCCCACAGACACATGAAGAAATGCTCAACATCACTCAGCATTCAGGAAATACAAAATAAAACCACTTTGAGATACCATTTCACCCCAGTTAGAATGGCTAATATCCAAAAGACTGTGAATGATAAATGCTGGCGAGGTTGTGGAGAAAAAGGAACTCTCATACATTGTTGGTGGGACTGAAAAATGGTGCATCCTTTATGGAAAATGGTATGGAGGTTCCTCAACCAATTACAGGTAGATTTACTATATGACCCAGCTATTCCACTGCTGGGAATATACCCAGAGGAATGGAAATCATCATGCCGAAGGGATACCTGTACTCCAATGTTTACTGCGGCACTGTTTACAATAGCCAAGAGTTGGAACCAGCCCAAATGTCCACCATCAGATGAGTGGATAAGGAAAGTGTGGTATATCTACACAATGGAATTCTACTCTGCTATAGAAAAGAATGAAATACTACCATTTGCAACAACATGGATGGAATTAGAGAAAATTATATTAAGGGAAACAAGTCAGGCACAGAAAGAGAAATACCACATGTTCTNAAGACACAATAATCACAACAATTCCTTGAACTTGTTAAGACAAGTGAACAGATATGATGTAGTGGGGGGAAGGGGAGAGAGGGAGGGGCCAAAGAAGAATGGGTAAAGGTACACGAAAATCAACTACAATGTATATTGAGAAGCTAAAATTAAAAAATAATAAATAATTTTTTTTTTTAATTATCCTGAGCTGGCTGGTTAGCTTACTCATATAGAGCATAGTGCTGACAAAACCAAGGTCAAGGGTTCAGATCCCCATACCAGCCAGCCAACAACAACAAAAAATTATCCTTAATGTTAATCCATTATAATAGCAAACGGATGTTCTGGAATTTTCATTAATATTGCATATTTATACTCTTTATGGCAAAAGAATTTCTAAAATGGCCACATTGTTATCTTTTTTTCCTTCCCCAAATGTGGCAGACTGCCCTTGTGAAATTCTCACAGGATAGCCATGCCACAGCAATCACTAGAATGTTCTGATGAAAAACAGTCTTTGTCACACAGTGTTAATCACTGACATGTCTTTGTAATTGCTTCTTGTGCTCCTTGGTTATATTAATCTATTTCTGCATTTTCTAATGTTAAGTCCAATTCTAGTAAGAAGAAAGAATGAGAATTACCATGACCCAGCAGGGCCATGAATTTGAATTTAGGCTTGGCAATAATCTCCCCGTCACTTGCACAAAGTCCTGTTCTGGACTGGAAACCCTGAGTGGGCAGGGACCATGTCTTCCTTGTTCACCTTTGTATTCCCAGCACTCAGCACAGTGTTTGGTATTGAGTAGGTGCTCAAGAAATAGCTGTTGAATGAATACAAATAGCGTGTGTGCGAAACATGTTTGTTGATGGGCTGATAAAGCAAATCCTTGACATTTCTGGTCTGAGCATTTGAAACATCAACAAGTGTAGCCGACCTGAAAATCCATGATGTGAGATACTGCAAATTCTATTTTACTGAGACACAAAATTAAATTACACTGTGATGTGCAGAAAGTGGCCACTGCCCACCTGACTACCTACCATCTGACTGTCTGTTTGACTTCCTTGTTATCTGCTCTCACGAAGAAAGAATACCTTTGCCTTTTTGGTGGGATGGGTATAGGCAATTGGTTCTGAGGGAAAAAAAACACCCGGGTGCTGGTTTTATAAATATGAGCAAATTCATGACTACTATTACCTTCATAATGACATAAGGTAGTATAATTTAGAGTTTATTTTAGCCGTAGAATTCATCTTAGTAGTCCTTTAAATGACTTTTAGTCCTATATTTATGGAGTCATGATCAATCTACAAGGGCTATTTATTTAGTTAGTTATTTTAGTGGAAGAAATTATATGCTGTCATGTTAACTGAGAACTGGGGATTTGTAAGGATCTAGTGGTGTATCTCTCATAGTCAATTTAGGGGTTTATAAAAAGCTGGAAGTATATGTCACAAGTGTCAAGGGTCTAATCTACTACAAATACAGAGAGAGGGATAGGTAATAACAGCTCTTAAGTATACTTTATCAGATTTTTTATATAGACCTATAACTTCTTACTATAAAAATTATAAACACATATAAAAGTAGATAAATAATATAATGAAACCCCATGTACTCATCACCCAGCTTCAACAACTACCAGCTCCTGGCCAATTTATTCCCCTACTCACTCCCTCTCCTTCTGGGTTATTTTGAAGGAAATTCAAGACATATACTTTAATCTGTAAATATGTCAGTATGTAGCTATAAAAGATACTGATTTTTAAAAACATATCCACAATACTGTTATCACACCTAAATATTCATTAACAATCCTAGAAGTACTTTTCATACAAGAGCAATTTTTTATACAACTCAAAGAGCAAATTTGAAGATGCCTTACCACACTCGTTACAAACTCATCGTGGATGGATTCTTCCACAAACAACCGTCCAGCTGCAATGCAATTCTCTCCTTTGTTGAAAAATACTGCTCCCATGCCCTTCGGCCCCAGAAGAAAAAATACTGTTAACATTATTTGAGAAGTCAAGATTGTCATAAAATTGTACGCACAGTGAATAACATGCACAGTGTTATTGAAAGACAGCAGATAGGACAGAGAAGTCATAGACAGTCCTCTTGGCCTTGTTGGTGATAAGAACTGCTTGGAGATATTCAGTTTTGATTTAGCCTG